AAGTCCAGGCTGGGTTTAGAAGGGGTCGTGGTACTAGGGATATTGTAGCTGATGTTAGATGGATCTTAGCTGAAAGCAGGGAATACCGGAAGAATGTCTATCTGTGTTTCAACTTAGTATACATTTATTATTTATTCTCCTTAGGGTATTCAGGAAGAACCAGACCACCAAGCCTGTGTACCAAGAACAGGAGCTCAGTGCTTAAGCATTGACCTACTCCCCTTGCTGTTGGAACCCACTTATCACTTGTCAGGGTAAGATGAGGCATTCTGTTTCTGTAGACTCGTGGCCTGGGGAAGTCTGCAGGGTAGTTCTATTCGGAGTCAGAATCAGCTCAATGACTATGTGTTTGAGGACTGCTTTTTGTTTTGTTTTGATGTTCCAAGGTGCTTAGATTTATATAATCAGTCTTTCAAGTAATGTTTGAGTGCTTAGTCATTCGCTCTACTTAGTGATGAAAGGTCACCTGGAGGCTAGACAGCGGTCTGCACACAGACAAACCCCTTGGGGAACATTCCAGTGTTGCAGCCAATCAGAAGAGAGCAAGATCACCGGACACTTTCTGCTTAGCACTAGACATTACACAACTCGCTTAAAATGTCCTGGCATGGAAAGGGGCATAGGGCATCTGATTAATGTCCTCTACAGGAAGCTGACCACTGAATAGAGAGAGCTGACCACCGAATAGATCAAATTATATCCCTCCTCCCGCCTTTGTTGTAACTTTCCTGCGTGGACACGTGTGACTTCCTATTCCTACTGCCTCCCTCTGGCCTGGGGGTGCAGAACCCACTGGAGAGCTGATAATAAATTTCTTTGTTTTACTTCATCTGGTTCTCTGCCTTTTTGCCTTTATACCTCACAAGTGACATTTGTACTTATAATATGAATTATGTCCTCCCAAAAATATGTCGACTTGGCTAGATCATGATTACAAGTATCGTGTGATTGTCCTGAATTTTGTAATCTGAGGTGTGATTAAATTCCAATTTATGTGTTTGAAATCGTGCCCTCTGAATGCTAATGAGGGAGCCCTGCCTGCAGTCCACAGGGGAGCAGCACTACTGACCCAGGGGCCACACCTCTCTTGTGGTACAAATTCACCAGCAAATAAAAGGTAGACAGTTTCCTCCCATTTAATTTACAGCCTCAGGAACTTATGAATCAGGTCTGACTCAACAGCAATTAGATAATAGACATTCTACTGAGGCAGGACTATTGTTAGAGTCACCTCTGATTCAGAGTGACCTTTTCTCTGCTGTGCTGGAAACCATTGTTGCAGTCACTGTGTTATGCCCTCTCACAGAGGGTCTTTCTCTTTTGCTCTCTACTTTACCAAGCGTGATGTCCTTCTCCAGTGACTGAACCCTTCTAATAAAATTTCCAAAGTATATGAGATAAACATTTATCATCTTTAAATCTAAGAAGTATTAGGGTTTCACTTCTTCCAAGATAGATTTATATTTTTGGCAGCTGCTCTATATGCCATATTTTTAATCAACACCACAATTCTTTTTTTGGGGGGAGGGGAGGGGAGGGTATAAAAATTTATTACACACACAGAATTTTACTAGTGTATACAGACAGGCTGGGACACAACAGACTATATAGCAGACAGCTAGCTCTTTGGAAAGTGGACAGGTTTGGGTGCTTTGGAACCTCATGCCACATTGATTTGTCACGCAGATTAGGAGGGAACATGCCAAACACCATGGGGCAGCAGGGTAGCAGTAACTACTCTGCCTACCTGCACTGCCTTCCCTGTCTGAGTTGGAGCTTCAAAGGATGGCACACTCAGAAGTGAGCAGCTGAAGGAAAGTGCTCATTTCAATGTACAAGAAAATTACTCTGATTAGACATTAAACTGTATTGAAACAAAATGGACTACAAAGCAAATACTACTCTATGTTGGGTAGAGGTAGGAGGAAAGAATGAGTCCTTCAAAGCAGGAGGGGAGAAAGCAGTTGGAGGAAGATCCCAAGGGGTCACTCACGCGGCTCCATTTTTACTTTTGGTGGTCTCAGGAAAGTTCAGTTTTTCTTCTTTTTCTTGCCTTTTCTGTTTGCTTGGAAATACCGCCAGCTATCCACATGACCATCTTGACTTTCCTCAAAGTTTTTCTACCACTCTCTCTCTCATTTGGCTTTTTCTTGGGCTTCAATCTCTTCTTCCCTTTCTTGCTTCCTTTCATTCATCTCTTTGGCTTCTATTTCTTTTCTTTTAATTCCCAATTCAGCAAAGAGCTTCATGATGTGTTTGTACATTGCCTGTTTGAACAGCTCAGAATCATATTCTTCCACATTTGTAGGTTTCCCTTCCTTCTTTCAGTGATTTTTTTCGCTCTTAAAGACCTTTTGTGCTCAATCAGCATCATCTTGATTTTTGTCAGGGTGTACCAAGATAGATAATTGCCAAAATCTGTTTTTTATTTCACCTGTTACTTCAGGATCTATCTGAATAACACCAAAGGGGTTCAATTTTAAGCAGGAGGAACCAGATGGGTCAATCTTTCAATCTGATTTTTGGATGTTAAAACCAAGTCTTTTTCATTTGCTTCATCTCACTGTAGAAGGTCATAAATGTGTGCCACCTCCACTGCCTGAAGCCCTGCTCTCCCTAGAAGCCCAACCCCACAATTCTAAATCATCGACTCATCTCTGGCCTTTTATTATTCACTATACAACTTTCACATGCATGTATATTTCTCCCTCTGCTGGAACAGGATCCTGATTGACCTTCCATTGTGTTTCCAGGCTGTGGATCTCCCAGGATGAGACTGCTGGTGGTTTGAACCTCCAGAGAGGTGCCGGCTTTGGGTTAGCAGCACACTCCCTCAATCACTAAAGTTCATGTTCCTTTTATCACTCACTAAGAGTGAGGGAGCAGAGCAGGGAGGATGCTCACTATGACTAAGATGAGCACAAGCAGAGAAGGTCCTTGGGCCGAGGCTCTCTGACCAAGAATCTCCTAGACCCTGGGGAAGACTCAGCCTTGCAGATCCCCAGCAGACACTGTGCCCACAGGTGTTGAAAGGACACAAGCACTTTCCACTAGAGCCAACAGAGATGAATACCTTCTCACTGAACATTCCCCTTGGACTTTAGGCCTCTGGTGACCTAGTGGGTAAGGACATGCACTACCAACCCATAGGCAGGTGGTTCATATCTAACAGCTGTTCTGGGGAGGAGGTGGGGCATTCTCCTCTGGTGTGATTTTCAGTCTCTGAATTTTCAGCTACGAGTTGGTTCCAACGTGATGGCACCTAACAACAACAGACTTCTGAACTGTGAGAAAATATGATTCTGTTTGTTAAAAATACATTTCACGTGTGCTGCTAATTTGTGTTGGTTGCCCCTGGGTCACCCAGAACTTCCTATAGCATGCTCAAAGCACTGACCCAGGCCTCACAAGGCCATATACCCGCCCCCCCCCCAACCCTCTACATCCCATTTTCTGCCCATAGAGGAGATAACTGAGGTGCTAGTGGTCATCCCAGCAAATGACTCTCCAAACTGCCAGAACTAAGTTTTTGTTGCATAGCCTGACCCAAGTTAAAGAGGACAGGTCATTAGGACTTGCCTGAGGACTCAGGCCAGGAAGGCTGAGTGGCTTCCTGTGACATCACAAAGGTGATTGCCACAGAGACCTGCAGACCTGCCCCATAGGGGGAGAAGGAGCTCCTACTGCCAAGGACGGTGGTGGCTACTTCCCCCACAGACTGGTCCTCTATGGAAGCCTTGGTCTGTGCATTCTCTGAGCTGCGCATAAGAGAAGGTGCTGGACTGCGGGGAAGAGAGGCAGGTGGAGAACAAAGGGATGCTCTCCTGTCTCTATTTAGACTCAAATACACCAAGATGGCCAGAGGGACATGCTGGATGACCATCATTCATGCTGCATGACCCTAGGATGGCCACATCCTCCTGGCCTTACTGTACAGTTTCTAAAATAGGACCAGAACAGTCTTTCTGGGTCAGGGGGCTAAAGGAGATGGCAGAAAGGGTACAAAGTCCTGAAGGGGTTCTTGATCAAAGTCATGACTTTCTCAGACACTATTGTAGTGAGGGACAGAAGAGGAACAATTAGAGAGAAAGAGAAGGGTCTGTGTATGTGCAGGAAAGGAAGTGTGAGAATGAGAGAGGTTGTATCTGAGAGAGAATGTGTATATGTGTGTGTGTGAGAGAGAGAAGGGTGTGTATGTGAAGAAGATGTGTGAGAGAAATAAATAGAGGATAAGTATGAGAAAGATTGTGTGAGAGAAATGGGTATGTGCATGGGTCAGCAAGAAGGTGTATGTGTGTATGTATATGTGAAAGGATGAGTTGGTGTGTAAAAGAGTGTGTGTGTGAGAGAGTGTATGTGAGGGAAAGAGGGTGTGGAAGAGAATGTGAGAGAGAAGGTGTATGTAACAAAGCATGTATGTGGGTGAGAGGGTCTGTGTAAGGGAAAGGGTGTGTAAGAGAGAAGATATATGTATGTAAAGTGGTGTATAAGAGAGGATATATATGTGGGAGAGAGGGTGTGTGTGTGAGAGGGTGTGTGTGTGTGAGAAAGGGCATGTGTGTGTGAGAGAGGGTATGTGTGTGTGAGAGAGGGTATGTGTGTGTGAGAGGGGGTATATGACTGGCAGAGGGTATGTGAGAGAGGCTATATATGTGTGAGAGAGGATTACTATGTGAGACGGGATATGTGAGTGAGAGGATGGGTATGATAGAGAAGGTGTGTGTGTGTGTGAGAGAGGGTATATGTGTGTAAGAGAGTATGTGTGTGTGTGAGGGAGGGTAAATGTGTGTGTGAGTATGTATGTAAGAGAGAGTATATATATATGACAGAGTGTGTGAGAGAAAGGGTATATGTGTGTGAACAGATGTGTGTGAGAAAGAGCATATGTGTGTGTGAGAGAATATATGGATGTGACAGGTTATAAGTGTGTAAGAGAGCATATGTATGTGGGAGAGAGGGTATAGGTGTGAGAGAGGGTATGTGTGTGTGAGAGAGGGTATAGCTGTGGGCGAGAGAATATATGTGTGAGAGAGAGTTTGTATATGACAGGGTATATGTTTGGGAGAGAGTGTGTGTGAGATACAGGGTATATGTATGTGACAGGGTTTATGTGTGAGAGGGTATGTGTATGTGAAAAAGGGTAGATGGATGTGAGAGGGTATGTGTGTGAGAGAGTATATGTGAGGGAGAAGATATATTAAAGAGAGAGGGTATATGTATGAGATAGAGTGTATGTGTGTGAGAGATAGGGTATGAGTGTTAGAATATATTTGTGTAAGAGGGAGGATATATGTGTGGGAAAGGGTGCAGGAGAGAGCATATAGGTGTGAAAGATAGTATATGTGTGTGAGAAGATGTGCATGAGAGAGTATGTGTGTGAGTGAGAATATATGAGAGGGGTGTGTATGTGAGTGGGCGGTGCAAGTGTGAAAAAGTGTGTATATGAGAGAAGGTATATGTGTAACAGGCTGTGTTTGTATGACAGAGGATGTATATGTGAGAGAGTGTGTGTGAGAGAGAGGGAGGGTGTGTGAGTGTGTGTCTGTGTGAGAGAAGATCTATGTGTGGAGACAGAGCTTATGAGTGGGAAAGGGTGTGCATGAGAGTATGTTGTGAGCTAGAATATATGCGAGGGGTATGTGTGTGTGTGTGTGACAGAGAGAGTGTGTGTGTATATGAGAAGGTGTGTGTATGAGTGTGTGTGTGTGACAAAGAGGGGTATGTGTGACAAAGAAGGGGGGTGTGTTTGAGAGGATATGTACATAAAGATATATGGTGAAAGAAGAGATCTGTGAGAGAAAGGGTGAGTGTATGAGAGAGAGAATGAATGTGTGACTGAAAGGATTTGTCTGAGAAAGGGTGTGAGAGAGTGTATGTGTGACTGAATGTATCTAACAGACAGTATGTGTAACTGTGTGTGTGAGAGAGAAAGAGAGAGGGAGGAGGATGGTGTTAGTGTGTGTAAGGGCATGTATGTGAGTGTTTATTAGAGAGGGTGTATGTATGACAAAGGATGTGTGTGTATGAGTGTGTGAGAGGGTGTGGAAGACGGTGTGCATGAGAGTGTATGTGCATGAGGGGTGTGTGTGTGAGAGGGAGGTGTGAAAAGTGTGTGTGTGTGTGTATGAAAGTGAGTGTGTGTGTGTGTATGTGTGAGAAGGTGCGTGTATAATGTGAGGGGTGTGTGTGAGTGAGGATATGTGTGAAAGGGGGTGTGTGTGTGTGAAAGTGTGTGAGAAAGTATGTGTGTGTGAGATGTGAAGGTGTGTGCATGAGGGGGGGTGTTAGGGAGGTTGTATGACAGTGTGTGTGTGTGTGTGTGTGTGAGTGTGTGAGTGTGAGGGAGAGGGTGTGTGTAAAAGGGTGTGGGTATGGGTATGGGGGATGTGAGGGGGTTTATGAGAAAGTGTATATATGGAGGTGTGTGCGCGACAGGTGTGCACATGTGTGTGAGGGGGTGGGTGTGTGAGATTGAGAGAGAAAGGGTGTGTGTGTGACAGGGCAGGTGTGTGTGTGAGAGTGTGTATGAGAAGGTGTGTGTCAAAGAGACAGAGAAGGTGTGTGTTTGAAAGGGTATGTGTGTGCATGAGAGATACAAGAGATACTGTGTGTATGAGAGAGGTGTAGGTATGAGGAGGTGTGGGAGAGCAGATGTGTGCGTGTTAACAGTGTGTATGAGAAGGGGTGTGTATGTGTGTGTGTGTGAGAGAGAAAGAGAGAGATAGATTTGACAGGTAAACTGAGGCTGCGCAGGCCAAGGGCCAACTGAGCCCGTCACATAAACTGCTCTCAGACTTGCGTCCTCCCTTCTTGTCTGAGACGTTCACTGTCCACTGGCCAACACTCTCCTGCTTTCCTGTCCACAGATACAGTGAGCTGGGCCCGAGGATGCCCCAGCCACCCCGACACGCCCCCCAACATCTATGAGGGGGGCCTGGGGGCCCAGCAGCAGCAGTGTCCGGGTGCCCAGGGGAGCAAGCCCAAGAACTTCAGGCTGCGCCACCTGCGCGACTTGACGCTCTACCTGCCGGCCCACAGGCAGCCCGCAGGCCAGTGTGAGAGCCACTGGCTGGGCCGGCTCCTGGCCGGGAGTGGCCTCCCACAGCCGCAGAGCAAGGCATGGGAAGACTGGCCACGAGGAGATCCGGGTCCAGAACACAGCCGCCACCCAGCCCTTCTGGAGGCCACGCTGCCCAGGGACAGCCTGGGAATTAGAGAGGAACAGAATGGAGGTGAGATTTTGGGGGGAGCTGAGTGGAGGAAGGATAAGGGGTGGGGCTGAGTGGAGGGGGATTAGAGGTGGGGCTTAGTGGAGGGGAGGACAAGGGGTGAATCTGAATGGAGGGGAAGGGGTGGGGCTGAGTTGGGGGCAGGACTTGGGGTGAAACTGAGTGGAGGGGGCTGGGGTGGGTGTGGGTGGAGATGAGGATGGGGGTTGCTGTGTGAGGCAAAAGGATCCTCTGGGAGTCAGAAAGCACAGCCTGCACCATCTGCTTCCAGATCCCTCCTCCTCCCGCACAGGTTTATTTTAAGGAAGAAGACACAATCTCCTTCCACTGCTGGGGAGAAAGGTGGCCCTTGGTCCTTGGCAGAAACTGGCAGCCTTTCCCTGGTCCCCACTGCAAGTGACTGCCCTCCCCTTCTCTCTCACCTCAGCCTCTGATTCCAGCATGAACTCAGCTAAGGGTGTCCTCTCCCAGCCCGGTCCCCCTGAGGGCTTGGGGCTCAGGCCCAAGAGGTCCTGGGGGGCCCTGGAGGAGTCCATGTGCCCAATGTGCAAGAGAACCCGCTCTGGTGCCCTGGAGAGGCCGTGAGTAGCCCACTTGACTGCAAGGCTAGTTCTCCCAGCTCCGGGACAGGAGGGAGCTCCCAGCAGAAGCCTATGGGCACCCCAGCCCCGACGAGGGACATGCATGGGGACAGCAAGACAGAGGAAGTCCCCCGGGAGGGGCAGGAGAAACAGAGGTAGAACTCTGTCCTGGCAGCCTACTCAAACTCAAATCAGCCACTGGTACCCAGAGGCAGCCCCTCAGAGAACCAGGCATTCCGGAGGCCTGCCAGCCTCGCGTCTAAGCCAATGAAATCAACAGCCTGTGCCTGTTGTCCTTTTGTCTGTCTGTAGTAGGTCAGTTCAATTAGACAGTCTCCTGGCCTCTGCTTCCCAAGAGGCAAGTCCCATCCCCAGTGCCCTACCTGCCCTTGGACATGGGACAGAACCAAGAGTCATCTCCAGAACAGAGGATCACATGGACTGTGATGACTTTGTGGAGGAAGCATCTCTGAGTGGGGCTCAGAATGAAAGGCAGGGTTTCAGCAGCCCCAAGCACAAGACCTGGTGGCCCCAGCAGGACTGAGCACTAGGGGCCAAATAGGGGGAGAAAGAGAATTTCCAAGCCCAGGTCGTCCTTGGCCCTACACCCCCCTCCCTTGACATGATCAGCTCCCTCTTCCTCTCCAGGTGACCTGAGTCTAGCCCCTCCCTGTGTTGCCCAGTGTCACTGCTGACCGTCTCTGTGGGGCAGGGCAGCACCCTGTGTATTGTATTGTTGAGCAGCATTCCTGGGCTCCAGCCACCAGATGCCAGTGGTGTCTTTTCCTCCAGACAATGTCCCGTGTTCCCTAGGACAGGCTGCACCAGAAACCCTTGATTTTTTGGTCACCAGCCCTCTGCCCCTGTAGCTTGGGTCAGGTTACAACTGAGACCACATGTTACTGTGTCAAGGACACCAGTGGCCACAGAAGAGCTGGACACCAGTGGCAAGGGACATTTTCACAGTGGACATCTGACCCTGGAGACTTTAGTCCTTAGCACAGCTCTGGGGGATGGGAGCGAAAGAGCAGTCTTCGGAGGGCATGATGGGTACGCGGGCACACTCAAGACGAGAATGGCAAGGCTGGAGCCAGGGCAGGTGTGTGTGTGTGTGTGTGTGTTGCACATGGGCTGCCTGGTAGCTCATCCCATTACACACCCCTAGGTGGGCATGAAAGACCTGGGAAACTGCACAGGAAAAGCAAAAGGGACGCCCGCTGAGCCACCAGTTGGGAGTGGAGTGATGAGGATGGGGTGACAACTGCTCGGGGCACAGTAAGATGGTACACCTCACTAGGTCCCACAGGAGATAGCAGCATGGCTTTGAGGGCACAGTGCTCGGAGCCTGCTGGGGCTCAATCTCCTCACTTATTGATGAAGATCTGAAACTCAAAGAGAACCACACACAGTCCCAGAGATGTACTTTGGTAGCCTTTCATGAGCCACGCACCCCTGCATCCTAGTCAGTGGGCAACTCCGCACCTTGCATTGGACCAGCCCTGGGTCTCAATTTGGCCAGTGAAATGTGGTGAAGTGACCTGGAGCCAGTTCTGGGGCATGAGAAGACTGTCACTGCCCAACATATGTACTGGAAATGTGATCACATAATGGGTCAGACCAACCTGAGGCTACCAGCGTGGGAAACCGTCTGTGGCCTGTGGAAGTCACAACTAGGGCTGAAGCCCACCTGATGGCCATCTTGGTCCCTCAGTCCCTAGTGAGACAAGTCCCAACTGCACACCTGTCAACTGATAGGAAGGCTGTTGCTTATGGTTTAAGTGAGGTATGTAATGGTGGGCTGTTAACCAAAAGGTCACAGCTGCTTCTCTGAACACAGCTGTTCCTCGGGAGGAAGCTGAGCAGATGGAGGTCGCTTTGGGTCAGAGTGGACAGCTGTGGATTTGTTTGGGTTATACATCCAAGGAGCTATGATGGTGCAGTGGTAAAGTGCTCAGTTGCAACCCCCCAGCCTGCTTTGAACAAGTGATAGCAAAGAAACGTGTGGAGCAGTTCTACTCTGTTCTGTGAGATGGAATTAACTGGCTGTGGGTTTGGTTTGGGGATGTTTATCTAGCGATAATCACACCCAGGCCCAGCCCCCTGGTGGACAAACCTGTAACCTTCAGAGTCCTCTCATCTCCCAAATTTTCCTCCTTAATACCTGGGAAGGTAGCCACAGGTGTGGGTGTTGGGGTACCCCTCTGACTTTTGGCTCCTCCTGGCCCAGGACCTCCTCCAGTTGGGGTTGTGTGTTGATCCCTTCGGGGCTGGGCACCGGTCTTGTTGAAGGGAGGAGACTGGACATCCACTTGGCTCCACAACCTGCTTCCCTCCACAACGGGCTGAGAGAAGGTGGCCTGGTTCTTGTGGTCCTGGTGAGACTTCAGCTGGAGCCTGTCCTGATTCTGCCTCTGCACTTGCCATGGCTACCTGCAAGCCAGGCTCAGCCCACCTGACCCAGCATCCTCACAGTGAACCTGGCCTGAAAACCAGATGGTGGACCTCCTGGCCCTTCCTTCACCAGCCCTGCAGCTCTCCCACCTAACTAGGAGAGTAAGAGTGGAAGACCCACAACCAGATGGATTGAGAAAATGACTGCTGCAGTGGGCTCAAGAGTGACAGAGATGGTAAGGATGGCACAGAACAGAACAGGATTCAGGTTGGCTGCTTGCAGCCCTTGGAGACCTGATGGTGCAGCTCCACTCCACACATGCAGGGCCCCAGATGGACACAAGGCCTTGGCAGCCTGCTGGGGTAGTCCCACTCTGCACATGCAGGGTGCCAGGGGCTGGGATGGACACATGGCCTTAGAGACCTGCTGGGACAGCTCAACTCCACACATGTGGGGCACTGATGGCAGCTGCCAACATACTACCACCTAACCAGAGTGGCGAGGGTGAAACATCATCTAGTTTTGGGCATACGTTCAAGAGCAATCAGTCCTTAGAGACATCATGTTGGGAAAGGTAGAAGGTTGGTAAAAGAGGAAGACCCTCAATGCGGATGGATGCAGTGATCACAATGGGCTTGGGTAGCACTGAGATGGTGAGGACGGAACAAGATAGGGCAGGCTCAGCCATGCTGTACAAGTGTTGTTCATAGGGTCTCTGAGCTGTAGTGACTTGATGGCCTCAAACACAGTAATGTATTGAGCAGGTTGGCGTTTTGGATCCACCAGCCGTTTGCACAGGCTCCTCTAGAGTTACAGCCTTGAGCGCCCCGTGAGGGCCTGTTACCTGGACCTGACTTGACGGCAGTAGGTTTGAGGTTTTGGTTTAGCAGAGTCAATAAGCCCTGGTGACAGTGGTAAAGCTTTTGATTATTAACCTAAAACAAAGGTTGGTGGTTTGAATCTAGTCACTACTCTCCCATAAAGCATTTTAGAACTGGAAACCCAATGGGGCAGTCAGTTTCACCCTGTCTCCTGGGTCACTTACAGGGGATCACCTTGACACACACACAGGATGTGAGGGAGACTCAAAGCAACTGCTGTCTGGAGGAGCTAGCAGCCCTGGGGCTGGCAGAGTTACATAGGGCATCACCAGTTCAAGTATGTTTATTTGTGGTGAAAGGACACACTACAATCTATTTAATGCTGGCTGGCCACTGCAGTGATAAGGGGGCAAAGGGAAGATAGGGAACCCGAGCTCCATGATGACTAAGGCAGAACCTTCTGGAAGGTTCTTCCCTTGCCTCTCTCCAGGGCAGACATAAAAATTACAGACAACCACTGATTCAGTATAGAGGAACATAGAGGTTGGCTTTGGTGCCCAGCCTACTCCAGCACGGAGGTCAGAAGCCGTCAGCAGGCAGCCTCATGGGTGTGGGGTAGGTGGGTGACCCCAGCATCAAACCAGTGGGCTGGGCATTGCCATGAAACCACATCTGCTCCATCTTCCTTCTCCTCTTGAGGACCCCCTGGTGGTGCCTTGTGACCTTGGGGCGGTTCTGCCCCAGTCCTAGCTGCTTCAGAGGCAGTGGGCAGTAGGGGCTCTGAGGGCAGATGGTAGAAAGAAGCCACAGAAGTGCAGGAAGGATACGGGCTGTGTGCTGTGAGCTCACTGCGGGCATGGTCAGGGTCCCCCAGGCCCAGGCAGGCTGGGAGCCCTTGGAGCCACGTCCTCAGCCCAGTTCCCAGCCACAGGTCTGTGAAGGGGCCTCCAAGATGCGATGGACAGCCCTCTCTCATCTCTGGACAGCATGCAGCAGTTGGGATGGCTGAAACAATCCTCGGTAGCCAAAGGCCTCAGGAGGTAGCCTACAGCTCTGGCTCCTTAGTGTGCACTGTCTGCTAGCCAGCTTCTCAGGAGGAGCTAGGCTGCTGGACAAGGGTGGGCATCTCCTCCACCTTGTGCCCTGATGTTCCGAGACTCTGCTCCCACCTTGACAGTCTGGTGTGGACACTGATGGTCCTCCCTCTGGGCAACACACCTGACAGTGGACAATGTCAAGGTGGGGTGGGGGTGGAGTGACGTGAGGCCCTCTCTGGCCTCGGGACAGAAGAAAAAGCCACAGTGAAGGCAGCATCGAGAGCAGGTCAGAGGGGGTGTGTCTGGAAGGTGGGGCCTGTAGAGGTGTGAGCAGGAGGCACCTGTGGAAGAGAAGAGGAAAGGGGTGAGGGTCATGGGAACCACCTCGCCAACCACAGGAGCTCACAGGACCTGGTTGGGCTAGAGCCAAGGGTGGCAGTTGAGCAAGGGCCTTGTCCTTGGCTTATTTGTGCCTAGTCCCCCTTTGTCCCAGCCAGAATACCCTAGAGCTTGGGGTACTGGTTCAATGGACCATACACCATTGATCCTTCTATGATTCGCCCCTGTGATCACCTGAGGTTCTAGCCCCAGTGTGACAGATGTGTCAGAGTGGCCAGGATTCTCAGTGTCCTGAAACTTACCGTTTTTATTGTGAGGTGCTGTTGAGTAGACAGTAATTCCCAGCAACCCTGTAAACTGACGGGAAGCTAGCCCTGTCCTGTGCCATCTCTCAAGCTCCACCGTGCCCAAGCTC